GTTCCGTGATGTGACGATGCGGTACCGCGCGGGTTTACCACATGTGTTGTGCGGCTTGACCTTCACAATACCCGCCGGACAGAAGGTCGGTGTTATCGGCCGCACGGGAAGTGGCAAGTCATCGTTGCTTCTGACGCTTCTCCGCGTGGTGGATATTGAGGATGGGCAGATTGTTCTTTCGGGCCGTCCTATTCGTTCCTACAGCCTGCGTGCGCTGCGCCAACTCTTTTCGATGATTCCACAGGACCCATTGCTGTTTAACGGTAAAGTGCGTGAAAACCTCGATCCACTCAACGTCTGCAGCGACGCGCAAGTGCGTGAGGCGATACGGCTTGTAGGCATGGAGGACCGACTTGCCGCGGAGACGGATCCGCTGCAGTGCCCTGTGGAGGAGGGGGGCGCAAACTTTAGCGTTGGCCAGCGGCAGTTGCTTTGCATGGCACGGACCCTACTGCGGCGGGGTTGCAGTTTTATTCTGATGGATGAGGCTACCGCCAATGTTGACCCCACGCTTGACAAACAGATTCAACATGTCGTCACCCATGTCTTTGCGGGGCACACCGTCATTACAATTGCCCACCGCCTGCACACGCTCGCCACGTACGACGTGATTCTGATGATGGAGGAAGGCCGCGTGGTGGAGATGGGGTCGCCGTATGATCTTGTGCGCTCTGCAGACACACGGTTTGCTCAGATGGTGAGGTCTCTTGGTGAGTCCGCCATGCAGGAATTCATGGCGTCTACGCAGGCACCCACACGCTGAGAAGAGAAATATTTAGGGAAGGAGGGAGGCAACGGTGAGGCGTGTATGCTCATGCATGTAGACACAAGAAGTAGGATCACTCCTCCCACATATGCACACACACAAAGGGGAGGGGGGGAGGGAAAGCAAATAAGTGAGAGATCCCGATAAAGCCAATAAAATAGAATAATAACAATAATGAAAAAAAAAAAAAAAGAAAAGAAAGAAAAGAAAGGAAGTGATTTTATTTGGATTAAAAAGCAAAGAATCAACTTTTATATTTTCTGGAGGGTTTTTCTTTTTTTTGTTGGGGGTTTGGTGATGTTTGTTATGCTCGCATTTATCGGTTTACGGTAAGGCATAATATTCTCATTTCTTTTTAATGTGTCTGTGTGCAATCCATGACACGTCTTCAGTGCGGTGGCAGCGGCCATTATTATTTTACTTCTTCCCCGTCACATGTTATTTCTAGCAGTCTTTTTATTTATTTATTTATTTATTTTCCCCGTTTAGTGTTTTTTTTTTTCCCTTTTAATTTTAAAAGTTTCTTTGGGTCGTTCCGTGTGTTTCTCACCGCATGAATGCCTGGCGGGTTGGGGTGGGGGGAAGCAGAGAGAGAGAGAGAGAGGAGGAGAGGGAGGGATGATGGTCGTGTGCGTCAGCCCCAAATAAACCCACATGCGTACATGCAAGGAAGTAAATATGGAGGTATAAAAGCAACAACGGCATTTTTTTCATGCATTTCAACAGGCCGTAAACAACAAATAAATAAAAATAAATTTAACTGAACTGAAATATTCGACGTGCGTTTTTCTGCATAGTTGGTTTTTGTTGTGTAATTTTCTCTAAGGTGTGTTTGTGGGGGCAATACTTTTCTCCCTTCTCCATTTTTCCCCCACCTCCTTTTTGTTTTTTTCCCCCTTTTCAATACATGTGGTGTACCTCATTTTGACCCCTCCACACCATTTGCCCTCATTCACCTTTGGTTTTTTCTTTTTTTTTTTTTTTTCTTTTACAACACCTCCTTCCCCCTTTCTCCCCCTTGAAACACGCACGCCCATGCAGTGAAGGGAGGCAGCCACACAATTCACACGGCTCTGCTGCTCAACAGGAAAGGAACACAAACAGCGTGGAGGCATAAGGCTGCGTAGGGACGCTCTTCCTTCATTATCAGTGTTGTCGGTATATATATATATATACATTTTCTTGTAGCATTTTCTGCTTGCAGTGCCGGGCATCTGTATTATTATTATTATTATTATTATTATTTTTGAGGGGGGAATATATATATATATATATAGCGAAGAAGAGGGAGAGGTGGAAATATCGACATCATCCGCGGGGGGATTCATAGTGGGCGTGTATTCCATACTAGCCAGGAGAGGAGCGGGAAGAAAGCTTTACGAATGAGGAAGGGAAAGAAGTCGGGAACGTTCTATTCATCCCCACGGTCGGCGGCTGGGGATACGGCTTCTGTCAAGGCTTTTTCCACTTTTACTCCAGTCACTGCCTTTGCAAGAACGAGTTGCAAGGCAACATCATCATCGACGCTTGAGTTTCTGCATAGCGATCCTCGCCATGTTCGTGTTTGTGTAAACGACCTTGTGGCATTTGAGTATATAGACGAAAATCACCAATGGCAGTGGGGGCTTGCAACTGTTGCCGCATCTCCTGCCCCTCGTCATGTGCAGCTGCTGTTATGGCGCCATGATGCCGCGTCTCTGCCCGATCCACAATCAGCAGGGAATGACCTTGTATCCACGGAGGAAAGGGAAAGGGTGATGGCTCGGCTTGAGCAACTGCCTCAACGGCGTGCACGTGTGAATGAGGAGATGGAGGCCATTCATAAGGCCATTGCGATAAAGCAGGCGGCGTATGTGGTCTCACGGCGGCGGATAGAGAATGCGGCGAGTGCCGCGGAGCGAGCGCTCGTAGAGGCATGTACCCGCATCCATGAGGTTGAGGCCAGAGATTGGCGCGAGACACGGTGCTACCGCAACCCACCAGAAATCGTTGTTCTCGTCATGGAGGCGGTGCTGACGGTTATCGGGGAAAAGTGTGTGTCATGGGCGCAGATTCAGAGTGTCATTCGCAGCCCGGAATTTGTGCGCACTGTGGAGTTGTTTGATCCTGCCAAGATGAGTGCCGCAACAAAGGAGGGAATCCAGAGTAAGTACTTGTCAAACCCCCGGTTTACGTACGGGGACGCCATGAACGGCAGCCAGGCTCTGGGGTACCTGCAGCAGTGGGTGGTGGCACAGATGGATGCCGCAAGCGCCACCGAACAACTCGCGGAGTACGATATGCAGCATTTGAACGATCGATTTGCCATTGCCCGCATGGAGGAGCAGATCGATGCGTTCCGACAGACGCTGAGAGAATACGCCGACGAGGAGGAGAGACTACATGCCTTGCTGGAGGGCCGATCCATGCAGGTGAACAAGGAGGAGGATGGTGGCAAAGACGCCCAGAAAAGCTTCGGAGCGGAAGACAGGGGCGCTCTTATTGGCACAAACTTTGTCTGGACGCTCACGGAGGACACCATAGTGACGTTGCGCTCCGCCATTCTTTGCAACTACGACAGGCCGGATAGCACGATAGTTCGCTTGACGGCCGGGCAGGTGCAAGAGCTGGAGGACGCGCTGAAGAGACGCGAGTCCGGCTGGAAGGATGAGCAGCGCGCAGATGCCGCACGCCGCACGTTGCAGAACGCTTTGGAGGAACTTCGGGGGGAGCATGGCCGCAAGCTCAAACGACTCCAGGAGCTGGAGAGCAGCAGCCATGCGACGCAGCAGGAGCTCGGGGAGCGTCGGCGGGAGCTGGAGAAGCTCAACCAGGTAATCACCGAGGGTGGACTGTCGTTGCACACGCCGTGGCCATCGTCCACAAGCACCCCGTCGCACGCGACGCCGCGGAGACTTCGGCCCAATACGTTGCAGCTTCCCGTTTTCGGTCCCGCTGCCGATTCTGCCCTTCTCTCTCGTGACGGTGTGGAGGAGGAATTTGCAGAGAAGATTGAGGACCTTGAAAATCGTCTCAAGCGGGCGTTACACGAGAACCCAACGGCGGCGCAAGTGCAGTTGCTGGAGGATGACCTCCGGGCGGTGCAGGAGGAGTTACGCTACGCGAAGGAGGAGCTGGACAACTTTCGCACCGCGAACGCGCCAAATTACTACACGTCCTCGGCGCTGCGGATGGAAAAGGAGAGCACGCCGGGGGCACAGTTGACCGCAGCGCAGCGTCAAATTGAGGAACTGGAGGCGGCACTGGAGGAAGCGCTTGAACATGGCAGGCAATCACAAGGGCAATCTCTAAAAGCACAAGAGAAAAGTAACGGGAAGGGCGGGGATGACGAGATGCAGGGACGCATCCAACGTCTAAACGAGGAACTGCAGCGGCAACGCCGGGACACGGAGGGCATCGCCGAGCGGCTGAACGAGGAGTTGCATGCGCACAAGGAGACACGACAGAAGTTGGCGGATAAGGAGTGTGAACTGAAGGTGCTGTGGGATCGTCAATGCGAGGCGGACCGGGAGAAGGAGTCCTCACGGGCCGCACTGCAAGAAACTGAACGCGAATTGGAGAAACTTCGCGGTTACTTGCGTGAACAGAAGGAGGAGCTCCATGCCTCGCGCCCGAAGGAATATCGCTGGGAATCGGAGGCCAAAGCGCCACGAGGACGTCGCTCTTTGCAGCTGCATGAAATTTTGGAGCGGCTGAGGGACGAGGCGGGGCGACAGTCGCTTGAGGCGAAATCGACGGAGATGGTTCTCGATGAGGTTCGTGCGCTGCTCGGGAAGGGATTGACGGCTTATTAGCCACAAAACATCATTTCCCCCCTTTCTTTCCGTCTTGTGTTTTTCGTTGTTTTTTCTTGTGTGTTGTGGTCATAATCATCGTTGTTGTTTTCATTCTTTTTTTTTTTCCTTTTGCCAGCACCACCCACACACACTCACAGACAAACAAACACACGTCTTCTTTTTTCTTGTTTTTGTTTATTTCTGTTGTTTGTGCGTGTGGGTGGGCACGTGACACAGAGCTGCGGATATTGTATTTTTCCCTCCCTGCTTATTGATACATAAACATACACACACGCATGTGCCTGCGTACGTGCCTGTAACCATATATATATGTATGTGTACAATTGGGGAAGCTGTTGTGATTCTCCAGTAAAGGGGGGTTTCTGTTCTAATTCTCTCTTTATTTATTTATTTATTTATTTTTTTATTGTTTCCATCATCATTCATCAAAGAGAGAAATAAGTGAAGCTGCCTCTTCTTGGCCGTCTGCATAAACGTTTTTTTTTTTTTATATCCTCTCTCTTCCCTCTCTGCTCTACAGCCATGCACAGTGTGCAACTCTGCGAGCTTTGGCCTACGCGGTCTGTTGGCCTCTGAATTGGCCGCTCATTGCTTGCATTTTGTTTACATGGTGCCTACTCATTTTTCTTTTTTTTTTTCTTTCCTGTTTTTGCTTCTTGCCATTGCAACCCTGACACATATCACACAACATAATAATAGGGTGCAGTGTATTGTTAGTGGGGTGGTAGCGGTGGGGGAGAGGCGTATTGTGCAGCGATGTACGTTCCCCACGGCAGGGATGTCGCAAAGGCGCTTTTATCTGCGGAAGACCCAAAAGCTATGGAAAAAAATAACAATAGAAACATTAACAACAACAACAAGAGAAGGAAAAAGAAGAAAAAGGACCAGCAAGAGGCTCCACTGTCTCTTGACGACGTGGAGGAATTGAGTCGAAGACGTGAGCAGCTGCAGAGTGACTTGGAGACTTCCCTCGCTCGTATCGCGGAGATACAGGCGTGGATTCGACAAAAAAATGACGAAAGTCATGACCAGAATGCCGATGCAAAAGACTCACATCGACAGCAGCAATTGGAGTGCGCATTGCAGGAACTAACGGCTGCACGTGCCGCAGTGTGGGCAGTGCCTGTGGGTCTATGGAAGGACCTTTACAGTTTGCGCCATCCGCCGCCTGCCGTTGCTGCGATCGTCAAGACCGCCGTG